CGAACAGTACATTCGATGTACCTACTGAGATGACTTCCAATAAACTCTACGATTCCGATGAGATTCACGAATTATCACCACATCATTCAGGAGTTTATGACGAGGATCAACTTGGAAAGAACGAACTCAAAAACAACAGCATGATAGAAGTAGAGTTAGCTAGGTTGCGCATAACTCAGTTAGAAAAGGAAATTGAACTAGAAAAATTACGCTGCCAGAGATGCGAAGGTTCCGGCCAATCAGTAAGCAACAGTGAGAATACAATACTAAAAAATCTGTATTTACCAAAAAGAGAAGTCATAAGGTTTGATGGTACACCGACAAATTATTGGAATTTCATTAGAAATTTCGAAGAATGCATTGGGAGTGAGAATATTGGATTTAGAGCTAAGCTAAATTACTTGATTCAATATTGTGACGGAGAAGCGAAAGCCGCTATCCTTCATTGTACTATACTAGAACCAGAGATAGGTTACCATGAAGCCCTAAAGCTTTTAGAAGAAACGTTTGGCCAAAAACACGTCGTAGCACGCACGTTTATCGATAATTTGTTAAACTTCCCCAATATAAGGAGAAATCAACCAGATGGTTTGAGAAGACTATCTCGAGAAATGCAAGCATGTAGTTTGACTCTCGAACAGATGAATTACGTTTCTGATTTGAACTCTTCTAGAACTACTGAAACTATGGTTCTGAAATTACCAACGCACATTCAACAAGAGTGGCTAAAGGTAGCTTATAAGATTATCAGAGGAGACAGAGAGCCTCTGTTTACCGATCTTGTTGATTTTGTAAAGGAGCAAGCTGATATAGCTAATACTAGATACGGGCTACTCGTCAACCGCGGTAGTAATAGTGACAATAGAGATGTTGACGTTTTAAAAAAGAAAATTAGTACGGATTACAATGCAGCAAGAATATCTTATGCGAGTGCTAGTGATGATAATGCTCTCTTACGCAGTTCATCTTGTTTGGAGTGCTCCAGTAATCATTCTTTAGATCAATGTCAGAAATTTAAAGACAAGAATGTTAGAGAAAGGAAGGAATTCGTTCTTAGACACAAGCTGTGTAATGTATGCCTGAAGGCAAACCACGTAGCAAAAAACTGTCGATCGCCGAGGTCGTGTGCTGTCGAACGGTGTGGCTGGAGACATCATACCCTGTTACATGAGTTGCGGGAAGAACCAAGGAATACTAATATTGATGCACACATTAACACCCAGCTATGTACGGAGAAAAGTGTTGAGAGCGTACAGAAACAAGCAGCATTCGCAATAGTGCCTGTACTGGTAAGAAATGGAGAAAAGGTAGCACAGACTTGCGCCTTCTTAGATAGTGGGTCGGATGCCTCTCTTATTACAGAAGATCTAGCTAAAAGGTTGAATTTAGAAGGAAAGCCTAAGACGATTTCGTTGAGAACGTTGGATAACCATTCCACAATTCAGTGTAAAGAGGTTCAACTAGAGGTTTCATCCTTAGACTCGTCTTCGTCATTTAGAATCCCAAACGTATGGACAGTCGAGAGATTACCTATGTTGCGCAGGACGGTACCAACGACGTCTCAAATGAAATCCTGGACGCATTTAAAAGACATAAGTTTTCCTAGAGTAGAGGATGAGAATGTCGAACTGTTGATCGAGTGCAATGCACCGAGTGTACACGAAATGAAAGAGGTAATAACTGGAAAGCCGAATGAACCATTCGCCGTGAAGACTCTGTTAGGTTGGACGCTGTTCGGTTCCTATGGGGAACCCTGTAAAAGCAATCGTGTACTCAATCACCTCTCAGCTAAAGAGGAATTAGAGGATAAGTTTGAACAATCGTATTCAACTGAATTCAAAGACCTACTTAGTTGTACTTCATCGATGTCTGTGGAGGATCGTATAGCATCATCAGAATCTGCATATGGTGTCGCGGGGTATACTCGTTCCGAAGATGTCTCTCGTCAAGTTCATTGTTCGTTTTTATTAACTAAGTATAAGGTTGTTAAGCCAAAAACTGAAGCATCATCTGCTAATAAATCCAAATCAACTCTAAGAAAGCTTAAGGAAAAAAGGACATCAAACTGAAAGTGAAGACTACGAAAAAGCCGAAGACCACTGTAACGAAGAAGCCAGTTACTAAAACCCTGAAGAAGCAGGTAGCACATATTCGCCGTGGTATCGAGGATGGTGTTGAGAAAGGCGCCCTTGTACGAGTTGTGAACAAGAGTAAGGGTGCATCTGGTAGTTCTATAGGATCCAATGCTATTCTTAGACAGATCATGGGTAGTTGGAATTAGAATAAGACAGTAAATGCCCTTTTAGAGAGAGGTTGTGAATGGCGCTTTAAACTTCCGAGGTCTAGTCAACGAGACGGTGTATGGGGACGCATCATAAAGTCGATAAGAAGAATTCTGCTATCACTATTGTTTCGGAAGGTATTGATGGATGAGTCTTCGAGAGACTTAGTGTTATTAAACAATGTTGGCTCACTGAGAAGTCTATGGTCCAAAGCTATTGTCGAACAAGTAAGCTATGGCTTTGACGGACGATTTCGTACGGCAAAATTGAGAACCTCAAACGAAGAAACTGCTCGGGACGTACGACGCTTATGTCTACTAGAAGGAGCCGGCTGTCTGACGACGACGACGACCCTGGACAACGGACGTGGTGCGCGTTTCGGGGGGAGTGTAAAATGTGATTGATAGACGAACCCACCAATAATAAGGGAAACGCCCACCACCACATCAACTCCTTTTGACCTTGTACGACTGTATCTCTTTATTAACCAATCACAGTTTAATGTTCATTGCAAAACAATATTGGCTTGTTAACTCATTTTTCCTATTCTCTAGCTACTGTTCGGTATGTTATTTGTCTCTGTTTTTCCCTGTATTAATAGACCGTACTGTTTGTTTGTACGCTAACGATGTTAATTTATGTTTTAGAAACAGATAAAGATTATATAGCCAAATAGCTTACTTGTTCTGACTTTGGCTAAACCAAGACTCTGTACTCGACAGTCTAGAGATTAGCTTAGAGTTGAATCTGTGGGAAATTGTTTCCTACAACCATTGAGGGTAACATGTTGAATTTTGGAAGTTATACCATCGAGTAAACGTTTTTTTTACATGGAAACATGTTCATAATCATCGTGTATTGATTTGTAAAAGCATGCGCAACTTTGTATCAGTGAATTTATGTTTTGAAAAAATGATGGATGTCCGAAAAGACAGGTTTTAGTTACTAATAACACAGTACAAAAAAGGTTAATAAGTGAAAAACAGATAAAAAGTTAAATAGCCAATTACTATGGACGGAAATGTTTTCAAAAGACAACTTACAAGCTGTACATAAAATTGTATTTGTTAATACAGTTGAGTTGACATAACCTTGTCTACTTACATTGTTCATTTCAGACATAAGAAAATACTATTGAGAAAAAGTAGAAATTATCCAGTCCTGCCACTGAACTAATTATTCAGGTGGAAGTTGGGTAAAATTAAGCAAAAGTGAATATTAATATGTCGCTCTGATACATTCGTAAATGTTCTTCCGGAAATAGAGCATTTCTTAGTCAGAGTAGGACAAGTTATCTAAAGGTTTAACTAATGTTAGATTACAAAGTCCATTCATTAGAGAGTATTCTTCACATGACATGAACAGTGCTACTTATATCGCATGCAATTAATATTAACGTTTTTAATCCTAAAAACAATTTCATATTATTATCGTCAAAGTTTCCCTAATGTTTTATTACTATGAGTTCATGTGACTCTAAACAAAGTTATACACTTACAATCCCATGGGATAAAAATAAAAATACCAAATGAGTACATCATAATATTTGCTGCGATCCATAATAATATGAATTATCACACAGAAAATAAAATTGACCTATCCACACTGCATAATTGTACAGCTTATACAGCACAGAAGAAACCAATTACAACCAGAAACATTTCAGATTACTGCATTAGTGATAATTTAGAAAGACTCAAAGTCTACTGGACTACATATTATGACCAGTCGAGGATAAGTGTTATTTACCTGGATGAACGATATGAAATACAACAAGTGGAAAGACAAAATACTGTAGTACTAGATTGAGGCTTACAATGTACATAAGACAGTCCGTTGGGATTGCCAATGCGTACTTTATGATACTGTGCTGGTTAACAGAGTTGCGCACATTATAATATGCGCAAGCATCAACTTCTGATCTAGTCATAATACTGAAATTAGTTATCGATTGTGAGATTGCGAGCAGGGATGAAGACTCTTTTGGGATATATATTCCACTATTCTAACTTCGATCAAGTATGTAATGAACATTTCATGTTTCTGCCAATAATAAGGGGAATATTGTGAAGGTAGAACTTTGGGGACTCCTATAAAGGACTATCGTTTATGTTTTTATTGCATGATTATTAGACGCTTGGATGATAGTACCTAATATTATCCTGGTTGTAAGCTTTTATGTAGCACATCAGTTATAGTCCTTTGTTTACCTTACTAATACTTAGTCCCATTGCACTTAAGGGGTAGTTATGCACATATTGTGCTTTCTTATTTATGCTGATCTGCAGTGAAAATTAATGCATGCTATCACGCTACTTTGAGCTATGAATCGAACTCTAGAGTGATTTATCTACCTCGTTATATTCTGACTATCGGGCAAGTGAGCATAGAAAACAGTATCCTAGACCAATAAGCGTTAATTATTCATCTCGGTTGTTATCTCACTGTCATTGAGGAAATAGTCGAAGAAAGATCATTGTGTCGATGACTAACAAGTAATTAGTCCTATAAAGGCAATCTAGGTGAATAAATCAATAATCGGACTAGAGAATACAACTGCATAACACAATGTTTTGTGTGGCGCATACATATTTGGCGCATTATTGTACCAATATTTATGTGTTCAAATAAATAATAAATAAATAGAATACAACTGCTCCTACAATAGATGGCCCGAATGCACGAGCCCCAATACAACACAAGAAGCTGTCTTTTGGCTCACATTAGTTTCGATAGTCAAACACTTAAATTCTCCTAAAAACAGTGGTGGAGACTTCGCAACGGCCAAAAAATTGATGTTAAAAAAGTTGTATCTATTTATTGTAAGAATATAACACAATTCTCATCCACTAGCGGAAAGAATCATGTCAGTAAAAAATACGAAATTAATAACACTCTAACTACCATTCTTTGAAAATCTACACAGAGCAAAATGAAACAATTTAAAAGACATCTTAAATGTCCTATGTTATGACGAATTTTGATCAATCTATCCATGTGCTCACTATCCAGTGAATTTCGATATCTATAACGAATCGAAAGTTTGGAAGGAACATCAACTACTAAAATCCCCCAAAAACATATGATTTAAATAGCATTCAGATAATTTAGAAGATATGGCAAACTGTATTAGGTTATTCTGAAGTGAGACGACTATCGTGTACATTTCCAAAAAACAGCTTAGAAAATAAAGGTGATAGACACTAAAGTAAGCTTTTTGATAGATGAGTCCGAAATTGTGTCTATTATTGCACTTCCAAGTGTACTGGACGCAACAAAAACCGATTCACAGGAAATGGACTGGTTTTTGTTCAGGTTGTGGGTTTATTGAACACTTTTCACACTCCATCAAACCCTTAACCTCTTTGGATATTTCAAGCTGACAATCACTGTTTCCGGATGACATGACTGGTCTTGAATAGTTGGACACGGCCGTGGTTGGGAGCTATCTTAAAGAGGGGTGTCTGAAAATCTCATTAATACTTCGGAAGTCATTTACAAAAGTATCTCAGTGTTAGTGTTAGGTAGAATTACATGAAATCGTATCACCAATACTAGGGTGACTTACGTTAATCATGATAAATTAACTGAGTGACAGAAACCTTTAAAAGGTATTGGAAAAACTGATATTGAAAAGCAAGATCTCAGCCTAATAAAAGAAACAAAATGAATAACACTAATGATAAGTTATTTATGTTTTAGATGACAAGAAGTAAATAGTATTCTTTTTGAAAACTTACTTTCATTTCCTCGCTGGCCAAACGGCTTGCTTCACCTAAGCCAACAACTAAGGCCGTAGGAAGAGTACCAGATCTTAACCCACGTTCCTGTCCACCTCCACTTTGCTGAGCTTCTAATCGAACCCTGGGTCGACGACGTACGTAGAGAGCACCAATTCCCTGAGGACCATATATCTTGTGACCACTAATGGACATGAGATCAATCTGAAAGGAGTTCCACAAAAATATGTCCTTGAGTTTATCACATCACAACAATGTAATGCTTATGAAAAGTAACAAACCATTACACAGTGATATTTACGCTCACAAAATTAAGTGATTACTGAATATTAATGCATACAGTGCAAGCATGTCAGAAGAAACCTAGTTAAATTCAATGAGTTGGGAAAATCCTGGGATTTGGTAGTTAACTTCATAATTTATAGCTAGAGTGAACTTCATATATTGACTAAGTGACGATATTGATAACATGAAAAATCCCAGTAAGACACTTAAATAATCGTTTGGACTGTGACACCAATGCTTATAAAATATTCTAAGTTAGACAGGTCATAATACCGCTTGGTGGACAGTCAGTTTTTGAAAATCACATCTATTAAATACTAAACCACTTTAGTTTTTCAACACATATAGTTTACTGATGACTTTATAATTGATAATTTCTATCAATAGACGCGGGTGTTGTGAGGGTTAAGTCAGTAATAGTAACAAGGTGTTGACAATAAATAGATCGAGAGTAATTTTACAAAAATGCCTTTTAGCAAGTTTTATTGTGAGGATATGAAAATGGTTTGATCTTTGTACAAGGTAGCCTATCGGGATGATAAACACTTAGTGTGGAAGATGTAATCAAATCTACTTTATAGACTACAGGACGTCTAATTGTATAGGATAGTTGTTAAAATTTCCAGTGTGCTAAATAGTAACAAAAGTGACTGTATTCAATGATATTACAGATCCAGCTACTAAACAAATATAAGGAGTTTGGGATAACACATATACTGATGGAGTTTCCTTCAATCTTAAAACCAGGGTCATTATGTATGGATGACTCATATTATTAGGCTCAAAACGAGACAAGTAGTTAACGAGAGGCAGTATAAAATATCTGGGGAATATTTAGAAAAACCAACCAAGTATAGCTTGATCTTCTGTAAGAAACTAGTTTACGATGAAATGTAATTACATTCTGTAAAGAAACACTGTCTCAATCCAGACTACTGTGAATTACATGAATGTCAATAAATAAATTTATAACTGTGAAACGTAGGTTGTCATGTAGTAACACATAAGTGATTACCAAAACTCATATTGTCATCAAAGGGGAAATTTAAGGAGTGACACTGTACAGACATTTTGTGAGTAATTACAGACATCAGCATAAATATTTCAATACAGTCTACAAACTGGCTGATGAATTCGCCACGACGAATTGGACTGATACACCAAATCACCGTGTATCCATATTAGTGAGTATGCCTTTCTTCTAAGAACGACAATGCATCTAAATTCATACTTCATTACGAAAAGTTCTTGTCGGACTAACTAGAAAACTACCAGACAACCTGAAGCATGTCTAGGGATAATATAGCTTATTAGTTCGAACATAAACTTACTGACAATAAAAAAAACTCTTCAATGGCCAAACCTCGCAATCTGGACACTTCGAGGGCACATAAAACTCACTACTTTTCAAATGACTACATGCTCCACGGATACGGAAAGTACCGTCAGGCTAGGGAGTACCAACAGAAACTGAAATTCTTCAATCCTAAGTCAAGAAAAGTGGTAAACTGGCTTTTTATAACTATCTATTAAGTAATTAAAAACGAAAACGATGGCTAGCAGAAACTACTTTAGTCATGAATACCAGCTTATGTCAGAATGAACCGTCATGATTTTTGATTGGGTGTAGTCAGAATCGTCAAATAAAAAAGGAAACTAAAACATTTCGCATCTGTGCCTTAAAAGAAGCAGCAATGGTAAGATAGAAACCTACATTCATAGCATTGACGTCAATTGGCACTTTTCCGAAAGCTTGTGCAGCATCAGTATGGAAGAAAACCCCTCTACTTCGACGTAGTCTTCCGATTTCTTCGATGGGCTGAAGGACACCTATCTCATTGTTAACAGCTATGACAGAGACTAAACTCGTTTCGGGTTTAATAGACTGTTCCAGAACCTATAATAGATCATAAAAGAGAATGTTAGTACCTCCAAATCTAGAATTCCATTTTTCTGAACAGGTAAATACGCAACATCAAACCCGTTGTTTTCCAAAACTCTACAGGAATCCAAGACACATTTATGCTCTTAAAATACAAATAAAATTACTCTCTAATTCATTACGATTTGTGTAGTTATAATATGTTTCTTCTTTGAGTGGTAAAACTTAGCAACACCTTTTACAGCTAGGTTGTTACTTTCTGTCACACCACTGGTGAAAATGATCTCCTTATGGTCAGCACCTATTTGATTGGCTACGTTCTGAAAGAGTTTAAGAAGTTAGAAACAGAAAGTACCTCTCTAGCTTTCTCAACG